GCTAACATTTTAAACAATCGGAGAAGAAAAATGTATATATAAATGTGATGAAATTTTTTTGCGGATGTAATCATTAAGGTAAAAGCTGTCGCGTAACGCGCGCAAACATCTTTTCAAAAACATTGTTATTTTTTTTTTAAATTGGCGATCAGGCTAAAGGGCATCGAAATACGACCTTGGGTAAGGCGAAATTGCCCTGCGACGGACGAAACATTTCCGCCTGGGTGTGTAAGGCAGCCTTTAGGCAGAAGCTGGGTTCTATCGCAGTTCGCGAATTCCGTCCTGTCATTTGTAACTGTCGAGCTGCTCATTACAATTCCCCATTCCTCGCCTCCGAGCCACCTCCCTCGTGCCCTTCGCGGCCCCTCGTCCTGCCACCCTCTCGACCGTCTCGTTCCTGCAACAGGCGCGGCGGACGGTTCCGGCATTCGTGTTCTCGCTCTTTCCCTCTGTTTCTTTCCGCGTCTCTTCCCCCTTTCGCTCCTCGTCGCTCGTGCGCGCGCATACGCCACGCGTTTTACCCTCGTACTTGCCGGGAAAGAGGGAAGGATAATAAAAACATTCATTTTTAAACATCTTTAATTGTTTTCTTCTCGCGCCGAGAACGCTACGAGAGCTTGCCTGGCTTCCTTCCTTCGCGTTATCGGAACAATATTTTATTGAGTAGCTTTCGTCGGTCGTGATAACGACGAGCTTTAAGCGGGCTATACCACGTGAACGATGAATATTAATTTACGCCGGAAACGAAAGCTCGAGCACGAAAAATTTGGTGCTATTAATGATTTAAAAACGGCAAATCGCTTTTTAATGCGCGTGATAACTACCGCGGTATATTTCACGACGCGATATTTTTATTTCGCGAAATGGCGAACTAAAACTGCAACGAGAGCGTATAAGCGTTATTTGCGGAACGCTTTGTCGTTGGAACGCGTACAAATTAAGCAAATAGTTGAAAAACGCGTAGCTCAACGGGATCCAGCGTAGAATATAAATAAATGTATATCGCTGTTGCGGGGAGGAAATCGATGATATATTTGTTTTTAATTCGCACGTAATGCTGTCGAATGTTTTTGGAGCCTCGGCAATTTCGAGGGCACGTGACAGCGAATCGAATGACAATCACGACGAAATTACGACGCGCTGTGTGATAATCGAGATTATTCGGCGCGCGCGCGCGCTTGCTCTCGCGAACTCTGGTTTTTCATTCAGCGAGAGAAATGACACTCGAAGCCGGTCCGCGAAGGCCATTATCCCGGCGCGCATTTATCCGCGCATGTTATTTCGTTGTCGTCAGTCTCGCTTTTAACGTAACCGTTTGCCAGAGAGATGCTCGGAACCACGATACTCTCGTATTTCTCGTAAGAGCGTTTCTTCGCGGCGAAAAATCTTCCCCCTCCCCCCTCCCTCACCCCTTCTGCTTTTCCCCGCCGTCCCTCCCTTTCCCAGCTACCAATTTTCTTTATTACATTCCTTATTTCCTATCCACCAGCCTCTGTAACTGTAATACAAATTCCTATTGTGATTTATGTTGATATCAATGGCAACCCCCGGCGGTTGTCCCGTCGCCGCTCGCTCACCCCCGTCCCGACGGCTACAGGACGCCGCTGCAACGTCCTACACTCCTCTCGGTCCTCGGGTTCAGATATTATGCTTTATTGAATCAGAGAGAGAGGTTGTCACTGTTATTGTTGGCTTCGCCGCGTCGTCTCCCTTTTCTTTCCGTTCTTCTTCCTCCTACCGGCCGCCGATTTCTTGCTTCGTCCCTCTCTCGCGCGCGTTTCACGGTTGCTAACGCGGGGTCGGAGGGAGTGAAAACCAGCTATTGCGCGCCCCGTTCGGGGTTTCTCTATGAATTTTATTAATAAAACAACATTGGCGAGAGATGCGCGGCGCGCTCCTACAAAGCGCAAACTGACAGGCCGGCGCAGCCACTCTTATATGTATCTCCGCGAGGCGGACGAGCGTGGAGAATTTGTACACGTTCCAGGTTTTCCCTCTCTTTCCCTCCGCACGCCCGCTAAGGGAAGTATCAGCCACGTCGGCTTTTCTAAAGCGGGACGTGCGAAGGTGCCACCGCCGCCTCGTCGTGATGGGAATATACCTTTGTATTCGGATTTCAAGAACTCTATTGTTGCGCAACAAGCGCGCGCTGGGCGCTCGCTCCGTTCGGCGCCGATAACGCCGTCCTAGAAATTTAAAATGTTTGCGCTCCGCGAACGAGGAGCTTTGGCCGCTGACAAGTTGATACGTATACATGTGAATTAATAACTGAGGACTCGCACGAGCTTGCGATACTCGATACGTTTGTACCGAGGTTCATACGGTGAGCTCCGTGACGAGTCTTTTGAGATTATCAATGAAGAATATCGTTGCGAGGTAGAGAGAGGAGTGTGAAATTGAATTCACGAGGCACGCGTGCGAGCACGCGAACAAAAGGCATCGTGACAAAATTCATTCAGACGGCTGTGTTTACGTCTGTGTCTGTTTGCAAGGGTCAGTTCGAAGCTGCGTCATCGCCACCAGGGTGTGACCGTGGCAACGTTTCTCCTGAATGAATCTAAGAACCGATATCCCCCATTAACTACCGATTGAAACGCCGTACGATGAAAGCGAGAGTGTATATACGTGTGTATACGTAAGGGAGAGAACGGGGGGGGGTGGGAGAGGAGAGGGTGCACGCGTGCGTTTACATAGTGTATAACAGTGACTTGCGACATTGGACCGCTATAAACGTGATTAATGGACGCGAGTCGCTTACCATTCTGATACTCTCTCGCTGCAACCGGAATAACAAAGTACTCCTTTACTCACACTCTGCGCTTTCGTCTCTCTCTTCCTCTAAGCGTTCCCTCCCTATCGCCCCTTTCGTTTTCTCCCTCTATACTAGGTTTCGAGATCCCTCTCGCGTTCTCTCGAATACGAAGCTTATGGCTCGTAAGTCCTCGAAAGACGTTCCTGTCTCGCGGATCTCCCGTGACGTCGCTTTGACAACTAATTTACAAATTCCGGCGTAAGTTACGAAAACGATAACGAGCCATCGTTTTCACTCGGCGCAGATTTGGTGCGCTAACAATGGTGACGCTCTTCAAACGTCTTGTCGGAAATAAAACTTTGCACATATCGGAGATGCAGTCGACATGTAGTAGCAAAAACATGTAAAGAGTAGAGTTCTTTATAAAGTCTTATGGACTTTTGTTTCAAAGACTCAATTTTAATAAATTTGTCAATAACACATTATTGATCTTTCGATAAAACTTACATTAAATTACACATTTACAGAAGCACACATCAAAGATTTGCAAGAAATTTGTAACATTTCTAAAGTGATATAGTCACAGTGTTCTCAGCACTATATATTCCTATTTCGAAATAATTAATTAGAGCGCAATGAGGCTATATCGATCTACAACTGTTCCTCGCGCGAGAGCGAGAGGGAGAGAGAGAGAGAGACAGACAAACTACTCTCTTATACGGACAACTCGCGGCTGCGGTGTACGCGCGAGAGTGCTCTCTCACGAGGACGGCGCAAACATTCTCGATTTACACGTTAGCCATTCCATTTGGCTCGAATCGGTTGGAAGCCATTAATATCGGCGAGCGTGAAAGGCACTCCGGTCGGAGCTCGGTTTCTGACTCGGCTGGAAGACAGGCAACCCTTTCCTCCCAAATCCGAGGGGCCGTGAAAGGGTAAAATTGCGCCCGCTCTTACCGTTCCCATCCTTCCTCTCCTCTCGGTCGTCGCCTCTCTCTCACCTCTTCTCGTCCCTTCGCTTCCCCTCCGTGAAATCAATAAATACATATTTGTTCGGCACGGGGAATCAACTATCAATGACGCTAATACCATTAATCGAGAATTGACACAGCGTGTGGGCCAGGCGCGCGGGGGTGGCCCAAGAGAACAGGAGAAACCCCCGAGATCTATGCCCCCACCTTCTCGTTCTCGTGATTTCCGCAGAGTCACGTTACAAATGACCGCGCGGCTGCCTTTTATCCTCGTTACCGAAGTGACATAATCGTTCGTTCGGGAAGAGTGCGTGCGCCGCGTGTGTAGAGACCGACGTCTCGCAATAACGTACTTAACCATATTTAATAATCTGTTCTTGTTGTCTATCGGCCATGGTCACGGGGTACGTATTCATTAACCGAGACATACGATCGTGATGCCGTGCTCGAAGGACATTTACAACTGCTCGTATTTATTCTAGATTTGCAAATCCATAGTGTAATTAAAATTACTATATGAGATTTTATAAATAAATTATAGTTAAGTCGGTTTAACATGTTTTCAGGCATGTGGTGGAAAAAATAATTATATTATTTGCTATTAGGGCTCTGAGGGCCAAATGCGATATCAAGAGGATTGGTTTTGATCCACGATTTGCATGAATTAGAAAATGTCATTTAATTATCTATCATACGGATCGTAAGCAAGACAAACAGTTTACGTAGTGCCAGGCAATTAAAAAATAATCAAAGTCAAATACCTGCTGCGAGTGCATGTTCGTTGGGCCCACGGTAATCCCGGGGGATGCGCGATCCCCGCGGGCTTAGACCATAATTTATGGTTGTATAAGAATGCGGAAGGGTCCTCGCTGCTGTTTACTATCCTACACGGGATTACGCGTGATATTCGTTCATTAATTCGTTTATCCATTGCCCTGTCTCTCTTCTTTCATTTTCGTTTCAGTGGAACGAAACACAGTAGCAAAGCGTTTAAAAAAATACCAATATCTAGCGTTTAAAAAATAAAATTTTATAAATAGCCGTTTATATTTATTTATTTAAAGACTTAATCGTAAATTGACCAATATTTAAAAATGTATAAGTCGTTTTTACTTTTGACGTTTTTACTGATTATTATATATTTATTTTTGTGAGGTATACAACGTAAATTAAATAATGGCAAACACCTTTCTATCTATATTTATAGATGTCTCATACACACAAATCTCTATCTGATAAAAACGAATACTAATCTCTGTTTATTCTGTTTATTTAAGAGAAACCTGCTGTCCATTGATGACACCGTCTGAAAGACATTCCTCGGGATTTTCACCAACACCTGCTACCACGTCGTCGTTTTTCGATCAGAAAAGAGTACGGATAAATGGCTCTGATACATAGAGAAGTATGTACACCATCTAAAGCTCCGCAGAAGGGTACACACTCGCGTGTATCGCGTCTGTGCCATCTGCGCCGATCGCGGTTGCTCCGTACGTTAAAACCCTTCAGCCAGTTTCCAGTTGGCAGCTTCATGCTCGTTCCGGAGGGTTTTAGAGTCGGGAATTCAGTCGGTCGGTCGGTCGGTCGGTCGGTCGGTGCCCCACCATTATTCATTCCGTGGCAGCAGCGGGTACGCCACCCTAGCGCGTGCAAACAATTTGTTTCGGGGCGGACGATCTCGCGGTCGCGCGAACAAGTCGCTCGGAAATGACGACGAAATCACAAAATTTATCGTTCGAATATGAATGCGCGGACGTTACGCGTCCAATTATGTCGAATAACGCCTTAATTGCTATTTAAGTTACTTTACTATGGAGTAGAAAAGATTCGTAGATTTAAGTAGTATGAAACTGAAAGCTTTAAATAACTTGATGTAATATTGGAGAAGATTTGTTTTTTTTTTTACTAATTATAAGCATTTCCAAATAATAAATATTTGCTTTCGTCAGATAATCTATTATTTTTTATCACAATTATTTTATTTTTAGATTTTTAGATTTTATTTTTTTATTTATGTATACATATTTTTGTTATTGTTGTTTGGTTTTTAATTAATTTCTCTACCATTTTTTAAATAAAGTTGCTTTTAATAGCAAGCCAGATATTTATTTAATATTAATCACATAATAGCATATTATTATTATTATTATCGTAATGGGAAAGAGATACATAACAATGACTCAATCAAGTTTCCAGCTATATAATGCTACATCCGTTAAACTTTTGTTCACTTGAGCTAATAATTTATATATCGTGCACTGAGAAAAAAAATCGTTGATTCTAAGAAATATTATTTGATTCAACTAAATGCAGCGGTCACGGGCTGTCAAGCTAACATTTGTTAATTCAAAAAATATTATATTTAAATAGATTCAGAATTTCTTGATATTACTTACGTATATTTGATTTAAATATATTAATATTTGCATTAACTACAACTAAACGAGTTTAGTCAAATTAACAACATTTTTTTCTCAGTGTGACATTTCGATTAATAGAGGTAAGCTTATTAGATTTTCGACATTTTGCGTGAAAATAAGATGCGCACAGTATTAATGTCGGAATCGTGCTTTAAACCTTGCTCTCGTTTTATCCTCTTTTCTAGCTGGTAGCCAGGTATTTCCGCTTTGTGCTGGGCAACCGTGTCGGCCGCATAAATTGATACAGATGCGAGTTAGCTGGAGTTTTTCGCTTCCATCCCAGAGGGAATACCGCGATACCATAGAAACCAACTCGAATGTTGCAAGCCGCGACGGAAATGAGGCTGCCACTTTGTATCGAAAAATATCTCGATTGTCTTGAGAGTGAGATTTTTCCCGGAAAACAATACCTTAAAGAAAAAAAAAAGAGAGAATACCTCGATCGTCGACCTCGATCACGACAGCCATTCGTTGCAAAGAAAGCTTACCGTGCAAATAGGTCGTCGAAGGTAAACCAATAATGATCGCATGAGCTACTTCGAGCACGTGCTATTTGATGTAATTTACACTTTATGACTAAGCGTAAAAAGGAAAACAGGGAAAATGGCTTTTTTATAATTATATTTCCAGTTTTCTCAGTGATATAAACGTTTATTGGAAAACTTGCGCGAAGCAAACCTTTTGAGATATATTGTATTAGAAGACTTAAATGCGAACAAAATCGAAAGTAATGACTTCTTATATTGCATCGGGAAAAGTAATAATTTTTTAAAACTAAATAATTTTTCTACAGGTTTATCGCAAAACGTAACTATTATTACAATAATAACGGTTATAAGTATGGGCATATACATAAATGTAGACAAATTTTATTGTAAATTCTTTATTTCTAAAAATTCTATAGTAACAATAATAGTGTGAATAAATGAAATATATACAATTTGGTTTACTCGGAGATCTGAACCTGTCAACGAAATTAACTTTATTTTATTGACCATACTCGATAATAATGTTTCGCGCTCATAATATTTTTCCTACCCTCCAACAATCCTTACAGCACTCCCGTCACGAATCCTGACAAATCGTTCTATCTGTCTCATGTCAGCTTTGAAGAGGACCGTTAACGATTCTTTAACGATGTGGTACTGAAGAATCAAACGATTTATCGTCAGTAAGTGAGGAAGTCGCGAATGTTCGGAAATATCCAATCATGAAATTGATCATCGTTAATTGGTTAAAATCTTCAGATTTTCTATAAACTGATAATCTGAATTATACTCGTAAATTTTTTTTTTTTTTTTTTTTTTTTTTTTTTACAAGAGAAACAAATTAGGTTATTTTTAATTAGCAATATGTAACTTATTACTCACATATTAATATAATCTTTAAAGCAAAATATGACGAAGCTAATAATTTTGTAAAACAATTTAGCCATTTTTTAAGTGAAATTATTGTTCAATATTTGCGATTAAAAACTGAGGTCATTTGCTGTTATGCATTTTCTGCTCTTCGGTATTACTGGCTGGAAAACAGATTTTGAGGGAGGGTTGTCTAACACATAAAAGGACAAGTTTACGATCTTCTGACGCTCTCGTACAGGAGCTATTCATTAATAGCCCCTCCTCGAGTTAGCCCGGCACAACACTGCAGAATTATCACCAAACCTCAGCTCGCTTTATGGCCGTTTAATTGGCCGAGATAGACGACGATATATTATTATGCTAATTTTCAAGGAACGTCGCAACCGCGGAAATCGTTACCGGGAGATTAAAGGCCCTCGGTGACATCATATCATTAATTACTACATTGAACATAAGTGTCGCAATGTTAATGGCTTATCCAAGCTTCATTGATCGTTCGTGTTCCATTTATACGGAAATCGAGAAAGAGACTGATTACTTGTCTATGTAATCAGCTGTTCTATTGATGTTCGTGAATTTCCTCAACAGCAAATATTCTTTCGCAAAAATATTTAAATTAAACGTACATATATTTCTCAGTACTTAAAGAGTCAGTATTTAAACGCTTTGATAGCATTTTTCTGATTTTGTATCTCGAAATGGAAAAAATTGCATAGCACTTTAGGAGTTAGATATCGAAAAGATGCACAGTTTTTGAATCTCTCAGTAATCCCGAATGGAATTAAAAATTGCGCAATAATCTGACAATACCTTTGTAGTAGGTTCAACAATTTTGAAAAAATCGATAAAGATAAAGGGATATTTTTTATATAAATCAAACACAATATATGTTAATGTAAAATACATCTGCTTTGTTCCATTATCGTACTTTATGATAATGAAATATTTATGTTAAATACACGAAATGTGATAGTATAATCATATTTTATTGCTGTTAATTAATACCTCTGAAACACGGCAAAAATTTGTCGTTAATTTTTTTGACATAATACTCGACATAATACTCGAACGTGACGTCGACAATGAATATAAGCAAAGGAATGTTTTAGTGGTTTTAGAAAAAACATCGAAAATTCGGCGTACGCCTAAATTTTGCGTACGCCGCATTTTCCGTGGGAAAATTGGCGCGTCTGGCGCCGGCGGGCAAAAAATTACATGAATTTCTAAAAGGACGAAGGACAGCGGGAATTGTCGAACGCCGCCGACTGCCACGGGCGCTGTAACGCGATCCTACCGTAATTCACGTTGGTTTTACGCTTTATGCGACACGCAGAACATTGCGCGCGGCCACGCGCGAATTTACGGGGATGGCCGGCGGCATGCTCGGCACCGGGACAAAACCTTTGCAACCGTACTTGATGGACGCATGGCCGGTATTGGATTAAATGCCTCGGAAAAAAAACAAGAAAAGAAAATAACAACGTGCGTCGCGGAGAGAAAGCAGCGTCGTCGCTTTTTTCTTTCCGTTTCGTCAAAGGAGGAAGACTTTCGGGACAAAAGGTTTACGCACAGAAAGAGACAAACTGATCGTTCATTTCTGCTGGGTTTTTTTCCTTCTCTCGCGACGTAATCGTGCGCAAAAGTTATTATAAAAGCGGGATTACAGCTATTAAATTTTCACGCGGACACAAACGCAGAGTTTATACATTATTATTATTTAATTAATTGGATACTCTTTGTAATGTAAATTAAATTTTGGCAACACTCCCGTATACGCGTATATACCTGTACATATCTCGACGTTTTAATTTAATAATAATTTAATAGCATTGCGACTATATATACATACACCGGCGGCCGAAAATTCGCCGTCATCGTATCAAAGCGCGTTTAATTATTTCCATGTTATCCGGGATTATTTGGCGGTCGATGTGCTTAATCTAAAAGTCCTATGGCCGCGTTTTCGAAAACGCATATATACCCCCATCCTCCCGATCTCGCGGGACTTGCTGGGGAGAGGAAAAATCGATATATAACGTTACGAGTAAGCCAACTTTTAAAGATTCAATGGCCGGGGCTATCTGGCGATACCTACCTTTTGTACGTACGTTACGCACGGGATCCGCGGTGGCTGGAATCGCGCTCCGCTCTCGGAAAAAGGGTTGAAAGAGTTGCGATAACGGAGGATAGCCGGGAGAGTGTTCGGTGGACCGCGGAAGAAGAGAAAGATGTGGGAATGAGGAATAAAGGCAAAAGGGAAAGAAAGAAATGGAAGAGAGAGAGAGAGAGGGAGAGGGAGAGAGAGCTTTCCGTGCATTGTATTACGAGCTTTTTGAGCAAGCCTGTGCTCCAGGGCCGATGGTTTTGGTGTCGGCGGCGGTAGAGGTTGTTCCAAGTGAAAGAGCGAGAGAAACAAGGAGAGAATAAGAGAGAGAAGGCAAGAGGATACGTGGTGGACGGTAGGATCAGGAAGAAGGGGTGGGTTAGCACGGGGGTGAATTGGTTGGTCTGGTGGGCGAACGTCTGTCTGTTGGCTGCCAGCGAGCCAGTCAATCATTACGGGCCGCGCAAGCGCTCGCGAGCCACCTTCACTCTTTCCTCCATCTCTCCTCCCGTTCTCTCGTTCTTTCTCCCTCCGATCATCACATTCTCTCCCTTTCTCCAATTCGTATTCTCTTTCTTTCTCCGTCTCCCTGCCGTTCGCTTCTCTCTCTCTCTCTCTCGCTCTTCCTATCTGTCTCTCCTTTCCTTCCCCATCTACCTCTCGTTTCCTCTTGCCGCGCGCGTTCGTCCCCTTCATTTCCCTCAGTACCAAGTTCACCCCGTTGTTCCATGCTACAAGCACGCTACAATGCTGCCTGCCGCCGCCCATCCTGCATATTTAAGCGAGCTGTCTTGCTATGCAGTCGTTACCGCCCGCACCATCTAGACCGACCGCTCGACGACCGTTCTCCACCATCGCCGACCTCCGTTTCTCTCTCTCTGCAGCTCTCTCTCTCTCTTTCTCTCTCTCTCTCTCTCTCTCTCTC